GTATTTTACTCATTTTTCTTTTGCCTTCTTAAAATGCGAAAAAGAACTTTATTTTGAGCTTATTCAACTGTCCACTTTTCGGGGGGCAACATACATCTTGTACGTTATCCATCACTGTTGCGTATTCTATAGCTTCATAGTTTTGGGGAGAAGCCTCTTCATCATCATCAAGAAGTCTCACTAAACTACTCACCTCTGGAAACTCTGAAGATGCAGGAGATATAGAAGCTTGTGATGCTTCCAAGTCTTTTTCCACCCTCTCTTTCTCTTCTTTATCAGGATAAACAGAAGCACTTTGTTCCATCGCCTTTCTTGCATATTCTTCATGAAGGCTTGCAATTTTATCTTCCAATAGCAATTTATATTGGGAAGAGAGATTTTCTTCTTGCTCTACAGTCCTTTCTTGGTACTGAGACAAGAGAGACCTTCTAACTTCCTCTATATCTGCTTGATGTTCTGCTTCTAGATCTAAAACTCTACGCTCTAATCTCTCTTTTTCTTGTTCTAACTTTTCTTGGTGGTCGAGGAGAAGCTCTGCTTTCTGCTTTTCAAGATCGCTTTTAGCCTGTTCTCTCAGCTCTGCGAGCTCTTCTTTTTGCCGCGCCAAAAGAAGCTCTTTTTCCTCCAGTTCTTTAGCTTGTTTTAAAAGGAGAGCTTCCTTTTCTTCTATCTCTTCACGCATTTCGAGAATAACTGTTTTCTGCTTTTCTATCTCTTCTTGTTGCAGTCGAATCTTTTCTTCATCTTCACGCTGCTTCAAAAGCAATTGTTCGATACGTTTCCTTTGTTCTTCCTTCTCTTCCAAAGTACGCTCATGCTCAAGCTGAAGCTTTCTAAGCCCCTCCTGTACCAAAAGAAGTTCTTCTCTCTGCTGGTCAAATGCCTTCTTTTGCCGCGCCAACAATTCCTTTTGCTTTTCTAATTCTTCTTCCTGGATTAAAAGCAAATCATCTTTTTCTTTTAGGCTTTTCCTTATTTCTAAGAGCTCCCTCTCTTTCTCCTGAATCTCTTGGAAATGCTCGACCTTTAATTTCCTTAGATCCTCTTGGTGCTCTAATGATAGTTTATCTAAACTTGCCTTATGTTGACGCCTTAGCTCTTCCATGTCTCTTTGTTTGAAGCGAAGCATTTCCTCATATTCACTTCTTAATCATTCTCTTCACGCAGGCGTTCCACCTTCTTCTTTTGTTTTTCTATAACCCTGTCCCGTTCTTCCAACGCTTTTTTCTGTCCTAAACTAAGCGCTCTTATTCTTTCTGCTAAAATTTGTGCCCCTTCAAGCTCCAATGTATCCTTTTGTTCTCGCAATCTTCTTTCAAGATCTTCTTCATGTTCCCTATCTCGTCTAACAAGAGCTTTTTGAAGTCGCTTTCTAAACCCTGCCTCATGCCCCTCTAAAATTCGAGCGTGCTTTAATTTCTGCTTTTTCAAAACCTGGGCACGTTCTAAAAGGAGTTCTTCCCTTTGGATCTTAAGAGATTCGTCATGCTCTAAACGAAGTTCATCTTCTTTTCTTCTAAGGTCTTCTATATGCTTTCGCCGAGCAAACTCTAATCCTTCCCTGGAGCGACGGAGCAATTCATCTTTTTCTTTTTGTAATTTTGCATACCGAGAGCGTTCTTTTTCCCTTTCATGCTCTCTTTATGTTGCCCCCCGAAAAGTGGACAGTTGAATAAGCTCAAAATAAAGTTCTTTTTCGCATTTTAAGAAGGCAAAAGAAAAATGAGTAAAATA